GTCGCAGACCCACTCTGCATAGCGGGGCTCCTCTTGCAGTGGTAAAAGTTTCAGCTGAGCTCGCCAATAGCAGAGCAGTTAGTCTTGTCACCTGAGAAGGCAGGAAACCTTAGTTTAAACATCTCCTTTACATAATTTGGAGTGGGAATTCTTGCAAAGGCAGCTCTCACTTCCTAGGCAAATACCTGCATCACATGGCTACGGGGTACTTAAGGGACTGGCTTTGGCAACCCCTTAAAATGGTGAACTACCATGAACTATAAATAAGGGGATGCAAAAAGCACAGGAGCTATCAGAGGAAACACCAACAGATGACCCAAAAGATAAAACATAGCACTAGAAATACAGCCCTTGTTCCTGTGCGGAGGTTACGTGTTAGACACGTGCCCCTGATTAGACACTGCAGACAGGCCAGGAAAGGGGCTCTCCGAGGCCAGGCAGGAGACGTGTGTGGGGCTGGTGGAAGCTGCTGACTCCACGAAGCACCAAGCGGGACGATGCATTTCATTTGCTAACGGTAACTGAAGTGAAGCCTGCCTCCTGCTTCTTCATAGACACCTAAGACCTGGTTTGGATAATGCTATCACCCTCTAGCAGAGCAGAATGGCATTTATTTGCACAAGCCTCGGGTGCTGAGGATTTGGCACTCTCTAGGGATGTGAAAGATCAAATCTCTGCCTTGGCAGCAGAGGACTTTCCAGTCGCCTCTCAAAGAAGTGCTGCGCTTATTACAAACATGTCTGGCCATCCCCTGGGCCTGAGCGCATGGAAAAGTTGCCAAAAACATCCTGCCAGGAGGCAGGCGGCTGAACCACTGACCTGCGACGGGGTGAGGGTGAAGGTATCACCCCAAGACCTGTCCCCTCTGCTCGGCAGCCCAAGTGGGGAGTCCCTGGGGGACAGCAGAGTGAGCTGGGGACCCTGGAGTTAGGAGTCCGTGAACTCCACTTTTGGGTTAGACACATCACACACCAGAGCATATGAAATCCTTTGCAGACCCAGCCTTCAGCACATACTAAAAATCAACACAAAGCATGTATTTTGCATTTTTAAGGGATTATTTTCCTATTGTTCTAATATATAAGAAAGGGGAAATTAAGCTTTACTACTGCAGCATTCATGAAAATATTGCCTTTAAATGACTCTCATTGTCAGTGTACATACTACACATTGGTCTTATACCTCGTCATTAGTGCTGAGGCTTATCCCTGTATGTATCTGACCCTGTAGTCAATCTTACTTTTCACAGTTGCTTTACTAATCAACAGTCTTTAATCTCAATGCAGTATAATTTACAAACACAGTCAGATTAAAAGAATTCTGAAATGATTTCCATCAACATTACAATAACTTTTTAACCTGTGTACTTGTATGTGATCTGTGGCTATGTTGCTTTCCAAACTAATTAATAAGACTGATAAAATCTAATGAACAGCATTGACACACAGAGGCCTCATTTGTTTTGAATATAGATGGAGAGAATGAGCATCATGACACAGAGAAAGTTAATCTTGTAAACAGCACTGAATAGCTTTTTTTTTTTTAAGCCAGTACTAGTCAGGCCTAGGTGTTATATAAACAGTATTAATGCCTCGAATGGGGAAAGAACTGAAGAAACACCGTTTATCAGTTTAAGCCATAGATGGGAATTAAAATAAGCCGAAGCATGAACAACTTGGTGCACAGCACCCCAGCTGTACCTGTATGAGGGAAACGCATGCGGGGTTTGAAACGCTGCTACAAGCTGGACAAAAGAGGGGAAACCCACAAGCCACAGGGAGCTTTCCCTGAACGTGCCCCCTAATGAAGCGGTCACTGGGTGTCCGAGAGCTTGCAGCACTGTTTAATGTTGAGCGTAACAAGCAAATAGCCACAGCCTCAAAAGCCATAAACCAAGTGCACAGCATCCGTAACGCAAACAGAAGATACTCTGGCTAGAAATGCTACAGAAGCGACTTAAAATAATCTTTTGAATAAGCCAGCAACATCTAAGGCATTGGCCTTTTTTAAGACCAAGGCCACCAGGTATCTTCAGCAATAATTTAGTAGTTGTGTTAAAACACTGATGGTCACGCTACAGTGCCTCCCGCAGTGCTTGCGCTGGTAAACTAGCTCACGTGAGAACTCTTACAGAAAGGACGGTCTCCCTGGGTGCTCCCCGAGCACATCCAGAGCTCCTTGTGGTCTGGGGGCCACTGGCTGCCGCTGCGGGGCGTCTCAGTGGCACATCCGCGGCTCAGAAGTGGCCTTCTGCCAGCCCCCGCTCGGCCGCAGGCTGGGGAAGGGATGCACAGGGTTGTGCTCGCTGGGCCTGGTGCGTGGGGTATGTGGCCTGCTTCCAGCACTGGCAGTTTCCGGGCATGTGTAACACACTGGTCTGTCACGCAAACTTCCATAGCCATGTAGGCGCTTCTGTACCATTGATTCTTTCAATCCCTCCATTTCCTCCCCAGTTTTACAGCAATTATTTCTCTCTCCTGAGGTCCTTTTCGTTTCAGAATTACCCAGTAACTCGCAAGCAGGATTTTCACAACCTTTCTCAAGGCGGCCTTGGCAAAACCAGACCGTGGGGCCTAAGCTCCTCGAAGCACCTCCGCAAAGGCGGCGAGGAAGAACGCACAAGTAGGAACCGAAGGGACATTTCCCACACGCTGACTCTTCCATAAACTGGCACTTTCACAGCTGCGGAGCACAAATTTTCTGCGAACTTGGAGGAGGGAAGTGAGCACATGCGGGTAAGTGCCCCGATGGCACCCGGCACGTTCCCACGCTGTGAACGATGGCTGGGGAACAAACCTGGGGCCCTGACTTGTGGGTTGCCCACCTGCCCCGTGCGCAGTCTCCTCCGCAAGCTCCGTCACGGACACCACAGCACAGACGCTCCGCAGTGGGGCAGGCAACTTTATTTGGCTATCTCAATAATTTAAAGTATTTACACACGGCACAATCACTCTTTCACACAAACATATACTTGTATATTCACAAACCACATCTAAAAGGTTTTGCAAAGACTGACACATTGTGGGGTTTCCAAGCATGAAAATAAAACCTGCAGCCTTCTAGAAGACGGCCATTCAGCGGCTCTGTGGAAAGCAGTGTTCCCTCCACGCTTAAGTTCTCCCCAGAGACCATTCACTAGCTTCAAAATATCCATGTGTTTGGCACTAACTAGAGCTCTCTTGGCTACGGTGGACTTGAAGAACGAACATGTGCAAATAACATTTTCTCAAGAAGTCCTACAGCAGGAACAAAAAAATGAAAAATTTTTGAGAGGAAGTGCTGCAGTTCTGAAATATTACTCATCTGAGGGGCTCACAAGTCAATACTAGTATACATATACATACAGAGATATATATATTTATACCTACAGGGTCCATGGGGGGCAGAGGATGCACACCAGCAGCGGGTGAGGATGCGCGGGCAGCCGTGTCAGACTCCTCCATGGGCTCCCAGCCGGAGCATCGTCACCCAGCGCGGCCCAAGGAGGCCCCGCCAGGCACGGGGATCTCCCCTGCTATGCTCCGCATGGAGCAGCTGGGACCACGGGAGCAGACACGGTGCAAACTCACCAGCCTAACACCCCTGAAGTGGCACCAGAGACACCCACGCTCTAGCCTAGGATAAAATGCCATCGCCAGCCTTAGCTCAGGCTCCTTTCCTCTAATGTTTTCTCCTGAGCAATGTACTAGGCAGTTACCAAAAAGGTAAGGCAGAGCTTTTCTGAGAAAAGCCCACTGCTGTCCTGACCCCTCGCCAGCGCCCAAGGCAGCCAGAAGAGCCTTGGTAGAAATACAGTGGGCGAACAAGCCCCGCCACCCCACAGCACGGCAAGCACCGGCTCGGTCTCACACGGAAAGTGGAGCCAGTGGTCTCAGATGAGCATGTTTAAGGGTGGAGACTTAGACCTTTAGGCCACTGAAGAACTTTTCTAGTCTCTCAGGAGGAACATTTCAGAGCCTGGGGGTTCATCTCCCCCTTTTAATGCACAGAGGGTATTCAAATCTAGACATAGGCACGATTGCTCCAGTCCAACTCACAAAATAACTAACCTTCCAGGTAGCAATAATTATTTTGAAGAGGATACAAACAAGTTACCTAACCCTTTCTAAAGTTACAAGAACTAGACAATTTAAGCATCTCTAAAAGTCAACACTCCAGTGCTTCTATAAAGCTACATAAGTCTCACTCCAGGGCAGTCACCACAGAAAGGCTGTGGGATTTTTCTTCTTAAAAAAAAAATCACACTATAGAGGATGTCAGGATTACAAAGGTAGTTTTGCATTTCAGGTCTCTCCAGCCTAGTGCTGTGCAGGGCAGAAGCAGAGCTCTACAAGAGGGTTCTTTGAGCCCCCTCCAAAGGGGGAAGGAGCATTTGTTTAAGGGACAGAAAAAGGCTCCCTTCTTAAATTGTTTTTCACTAGAGAATGCAACAAATCACCAGCCTGATTGTAGGAAAAGAGAGCCGCTAACCTCTACAATCAGAGGAAGGCCAGAAAACAAAACAAGTTCATATATATAATTTTAAAAAGTTTAAACAAAGTAGTACATTGAGAGAACACCAGGTATTGTATGTACACATGTATATGTATAATACATAATTACTCAGATACACACGTAAATATTTAATATATAAAAAATAAAGTGCTTTCTATCAGATCCCAATGGAGGGACATTATAAAACATTTCATCAGCTGCAAAACAAACAGATACAAAGAATACTACATCCAACGTACATAGAAACAGAAACACAATATGTACAATCTGGTGGGTGTCCCAAGACAAAACATCCCTTCATATACATGATATATACATATATACTCATCTTTACTCAATATATTATGACAATATATATTTCAAAACTTTGTTATGGAGGGGAAAAAAAAAAAAAAAAAAGACTCTATAAAAACACACCAAGGATCAAGGTGGCAAGTCTGAGCGCAATGCCAAGGCTGCCGCACGTGCCAGCAGCTCCTGCACCGTGGGGGAAGATGTGCCAATGCTCACGGCGCGGATGTAGCGCCTCCACGTCCTGCAGCGCGTTCTGCGCTGCCGCCGCCGGGGCCCCCCCCCGGGGGCGGGGGCGGGTAGCCGCTCGCGTCGATGTGCTCACCCGATGGGCAGCCATTCACGCACAGCTGCAGGTCCTGGCTCTCCTCATAGGCCATGGCCAGCTCCTGGGGCATGCGGATGGCCAGCGTGAGGTAGCGCCCAAGCTGCCGCACATACACCGTGGTGCCCATGTACCGCGCGTGCATTTCCACATACTTGCCGCTCACTCTCTCCACGATCTGCAGGCTCCTGGTGTTCCCGTCGCCTCCGCTTGTCGTGCCATCCACAAAGGCTGCGGGTAAGTCATCAGTCACTGCCTGGTAGACCTTCTGATCTGTGCAGTCTTGGTATGACTTGAAGATAATAGTTATCTGAGAGAGGGAAGGAGGGGGAAAAATAGTAGTTAACAGCATGGAAAGAAATACACATTTCCATTCCTTTTCCATTCTGCAGCTGTGACTATTTGGGCCTGCCCACTAAGCTCAGAGCTCGATGCTCATCCCCACTCAGAGAGTGGTCCGCATACATGCTCAGAAAGCAGCGTTTTACACTTTACTCTGGCTGGGTTGTAAAAACATCCCCACACAGCTGTTCATGTGACACTGTTTACAGACCAGAAATTATAGCTGCCCTTTCTACACCTAGGAAAAAAGAAATCCAAATGCTTGGGCCTCCAGATGAAGAAAGGGTTTTATTTTTTTGAAGTTACCAGGCCCAAGGCTCAGGGCACACACAGCTCTGAAGCTGCTGCAGTGAGGACCAAAGCAAGCCTTTACTGAAGGATGGATGAGTCTACACTATACAAGCCTCACTTACATGAAGATTACTAAAAATAAAAGCAGCCTATGTACAGAAACCCACAGAGAGGTTCTATATGGTTTCAGCCATATAGAATACACACAGACTATTACCCCCAAAACACTTCAAAAGCCTTTCTCTGCTTTGAATCAATATAAGGTTTGTGAATATGGTTTTCTTCTTACAGGACCTTGTGATCTTGATTCCATCCCAGCATTTCATCCATCCCTGCTTCTGCTTCCATTTCTCCCTTCGTGAAACTGCGGAAAGGAGAGAACAAGCAGGGGAAGAAAGCAGGAGAGAAGAGCAGAAGAAAGGGAAAACCAAAGTTTCATAAGCAAACCCAGATTTGAATATGCAGACCCAAATGTGATCTGTCTCCTTAGTGACTTGCTGAAAGTCTCTGAAAAGGTGACTTTCCACAGGCCAGCCTCATTGCAATACATGGATTAGTCTGACCAGGCGAGCAGTAACTCAGTTTGGCACCTCTGCACTGTACCACCCATCTATCACTGATGCACAATGTACCGCTGTGTGGTTAGAGCATCGATGCCTTTCTTGAGCCTTCCTTTCTCCTTTGTGCCCAAGCCACTCGGCTCTGCTCATTCATTTTTAATATTTCTTTCCTTGAAGTCTAGCCCACCCATAGCCATAAGATACAAGCTCCTATATATCTAGAAATACCACCTCAGGTATCCAGGTCTTCTGCACTTACTGCAAGCAACACTGGGATGCCTGAGGAGAGAGTTCAGACCAAGTCGGCCTAGGATTAGACCAGGCTTCAGACTTAACTTTGGGCAGTTTTTGATCTTGCCCAGTTTCACCTACTATTGTAGCAGGGCAGTCCCCAGAGATTTAGAGGAGACTGTTTCAGTGATGTTACTGGGGCCAAGTTTACAAAGCTAAACACAGCAACCCCTCTGGTGGCTTGCAGAAACATCCTGCCTTTCCCCGACCTGTTACTGCCCTGCGTTGGGGGCGCAAAGGGGAAGGGAAAGTGTGGGGATCTCACGCAGGACAGGGAAGGCAAGAGGAAGTCGGCCGAAAGAAAGAATTCAACAGGAGAAGGTGTCCAAAGAGAAACCCAAGATCAGTCAGGAAAGCATTGCTCCGACATGGTCGAGAAGGTCACCATTTATTTAAAACAAAACACCACCCTCTAGAGACATCTAGCATCTAAAATTAACTTTAATACTACCCAGAACTTGATCACAGTCACATGTCCTTTAATCAATGGGACAGCAGCTAAAATATTCCTTCTTCGTTTTCCTGGTGGACAACCCAAGGAGGAGAAGGGCTCTTCTACCCTGCAGTGAGTTTGTAACACGTACATAACAGCAGGCAGGTAGAGCCTGTTTAAGTGCCCAACATTAACATTTAACTCACATTTCCATGTCTGAGAAAAACCCGCCATCTCTATCCACTACTCGATTCTCCTTCCTTCTGCCCCCAAGACACCCCCAGAGCTACGGAGACAGTCACACAGACACTGCCGAGACCACGTACTCCTCCTCCTCTCCTGCTCCCTGAACGAGGGGGTTCAAGGCACTGAGGCTCCAGCAACATTTTTCCAGCAGTAGTCCCAGAAACTAAGACAGACGGTTTAGCACCGGACAAACTGTCACAGTTTGTCCTAGAAAACAACCCCTAGTCAGGCCGCAGTGTCCTGAGCACCAGGAAACAGGAATGTTTATCTTCACATTGATGAAGTTGACAAATCCCCAAAGCCAGTAAATCGCCTGTGCCCAGGAAAACTGTGGTATTTTTGCTGTGGGTCCTGCTGTTCCTACGAGCCCGTCCAAACCGATGCAGCACATTGGTGTGACTGAGGGCAGCTCCATAACAGAGCTAAACGAGCTTTCCTTACAGAGCAGGAGATTGCCCTGGCAGTGCCAAAGGCAAGAGCACGGAGCAGAGGCCACATCCGAGAGAGGTCCGAGATGCAGCCTCAAGGCTGCATTAACCTCCTGCCTTCCAGCTCGCACGGTGCCAAGGTCCCTTTCTCTAAGGTTTCTCTATCATCAGTTCTGTTCCTAAAAGGAAAGCCCAATTGTTTTCAGCATGTTATGAACCAGGCACCGGTTGGCCATGACCAAAAGGCCTTGTTTTAGGTTCTGGTTAGTCCCTGACCACTCTTGGTTCTTTCACAACCATGTTATTTCTCCAACCCTAATTTCTTTCATGAAGACAAGTGATCCAAAAACAAAAAGATATAGATAATAGAACACATTGACAGAGGTAGATTTCAGTGTTGAAATAAACTAAAGAGATGCTAAGATAATCACAAGAGGAGGTTGGAGCCTGCCCTATCTCCAGGTCAAACACTGCTCACAGAAGAGGTTCAAGGATGAGCTGTCTGGAGACAACCTTGGCCACCTCATTTGGGCACAGCCAGGTGGCTTCTGATAGGAAGGAGAGAGCCGTTCTCTTAAGCACCCTGGTAAACCTCAGCCTTTTAGAAACATCCCAAACGCACGGAAAGTGTTTTGGCACCTACATTTTCACGCTGTTCGTAGCTACCTGTTGAGGTGGTTTGTGCCCTGCTCTACATCCAAGCACAGACTGAAGGACCCTGGGCTCTTCACTCTCCCTTTCTGCTCGCCATCTTCCTGGCTCTCCAGAGACCAAAACGACACATCTCAGGAACTTAGAGCAGTGTTTTATCTGCTCCGCCTCATGAACGAGGTGGCTTTTGACCGCAGCCCCTCAGCAAAAAGGTAGTATGGGCCTCCTCTGAGGAATAAAGCTGCAGTTCATTTTTATCTTAGGCAGGAAGTCTATAAGGATGAGAAAATTAATCACACATGGTCAGCAATCTGATGCTTCCACTCAGAAGCCTGACTGAACAGTAACTGGAAGATGACTATTTTAATATTAATTATTTAAAGGAGAGTAAGTACAGGGTGTTCAGTCCAATGATTTCCTCCTGCAAAAATAGAAACAAGACTACAAAAGAGATACCTAAGTGTTTTGACTCTGGGGAAAAAGAGCACTTACTTACCCACTGTTTCATTACACTGCTAATGCAGCCTATTCCCAGATTCAAGGCTTTATGCCCAGCAAACTTACCACAGTAAAAGCTCTGGGTTTATTACTGCCTGTTTGTTTCCCTACCTTCCCCGTGCCCATTCTCCACATCTCACCCCTAATTTATCTGCTATAAAACACCTGCATGGGAAGAGCCCCTTCCCCATTTCTGAGCGCTGCAAACAAGGAGAAAAGTTTTCCATAGGGAAACACAAGCACCTCTGCCTCATTTGCTACTCTGGGATAACTGCAACAGAGATAGCCAGAGCACCTGTCACGCTGGTCAAAGAAAACAAGGACTTTGTTCCCCTCCAAATAAAGCCCACGACAAAACAAGAACAGAAAAACCCTATTCAAGGCACTATATGATATCCTTCCTACCCACTCCTCCAATCCCCTTGAAATATTCACTTAGCCTCAGGAGCTCCCCCAAGCCTGGGGAGCTCTCCTTCCTCTCCAGAAATCAGATAAGGAAACACCAGTGACCTGCACCAGACTCACTCTGAAAATTTGCTTCCCAGCTCCTTGGTGATCCTTCATTCCCCACCTGAAAAGTCCTGGGATCCTATGCCAAGGGGCACAAGCAGATCAAACAAGCTCAGAAGAAAGTGGAGCTGCAAGTTTCAACTAGACCACAGAATATACAATAGCTTTGTTCCCTCTGAAGAAACAGATGTCCTGACTATCGGCATCGCAAACATGCAAAACACCTACAAACAAATTGCCAGGAGCATTCTGTGAACGCACATGCATCTCCCACAGGAGGACATACCTTTCCAATTAAGGAATTAGAGGAAGAGTTTTCCTGCTTTCTGTTCTTTCCTGACAGATGTGTAGTGAAAGCAGAAAAGCATTCTTTTATTCCTCATTTTCTTGTTAAAAGCCGCCTGATGGTCTCCTGTCCTCTACAAACTTAGTGGATAGCTCTCAGATTGCTGGGGCTCCTCAAGTCACAAGGGGTTTGGAGTTGAGCGGAATGCTCAAGTTTCTGTATTCATCAATAAGGGGGTTTCTCCACAGTTTGGCTGAAGAGCAGGACAAAGGGAGGGGAGACTGAGTGGAGCCATGAGCCAAGTGGGACAAAAAGAGCCATCTGCAAGGAGATGGGGCCTTTACAAAGAAGGGAAATAGGGCAATTGCCCCACATTCTTCAGCAAGGGGGACAAAGGAGTTGGTGAGCGCAGGTGAGAACAGATGGCGGGAGGCCGGAGTTCGGTGTAGGCGGCCGGGAAGGCTGTAACTTCTGAGTACCTTGGCCAATGGGGAAAAGGAGAGGGCGTCCCTCGGTCGGGAAATTAGGATAAAAGCGGGGCTGCGTCCCCCAGCATTTTGAGAGACCCCACAGGGATATGCCCGGTGGACTCTCCCTTTATTCGAATAAAGTTTTACTGGTGTACTCTCCCTTTATTCGAATAAAGTTTTAGGACTCCTCTGCCTCCTTTTTGGACATTCAGTTCTTGACAGCGAGATTTTCCGCACAAATGGGGGCTCGTCCGGGATCCTTCCACCTTCCGGGAACGGCAGACGGCGATTGGAGTCGACGGCG